TCTGGGAGCAGCCGGAGGCCAGAGCAGGGACTGACCAGAGGCGGGTCACCATCCCGGCGGCCCGGGCACACTCTGCCTCTCCCGCCACGCATCTGCGCACACGCGCTTTCCCCAGCGCGGTGGCGCACGTTGCCTCCTAGTCTAAGGTCCGGCACCTGGGCAGGAACTGGGAGCAGCTGCGCTCAGGCCTCTGCGAGACTGTGTGATAGATAGCCCTTTCTGTTTCTGTTAGGCATCTTGAGAAATTGAGGCAGAAAGCAAGCACTCTCGGGCCTGAGCCGACTTTCCAGCCCCACTTCACGCGTTTGCAACCTTCTTCTACACTCCATTCTCCAGATCCCTTGGCCACACCCATAGACCCTGTCTTCCCTCCCTCCTTTCCCTGGGCCTCACCACTCCTCAGCGGGGCCCAGGCTCCCAGCCTCTCATCCAACCACAGCTATTCCAGGAAGGGGAGTGTGTGTGGGTGGAAGGGGGTTTCTCCAAACACACCCACTGCTTCTGAGTGAGAGGGGGGCCAGGCTGGGGGAGCTGCTGGCCGCAGGCTCTGGAATGTTCCAGGCAGGAGCAAAGTGAGGGTCCCAGGAGTCTGGCTGTACCTTCCCTGCCCTTTCCCAGCTTTGTTTTTCCCCTGGGACACCTAGCGCCCAGCCCCCACTTTTCTGTCCCCCATCTCTTTCCCTCAGGTGCTCCCAGGGGTCAGGGGAGGCAGGAGAGGTGGGCATTCCAAGCCATGTCAGCCCTAGCCCAGGTCACCCAGCACAGGGGTTCTTGAGAAGAGTCTTCGGCCAGCAGCAACTGCTAGGACCTTGCTGGGCTGGGAATGGAGTGTCTCAGGAGACCGGTGAGGGTCTAAAGATGTTTTGGAACCTGTCCCAGGTGAAGGGCACTCGCTGCTCAGCCCACTGTAAGCAGCAGGAATAGACAGAATCCAGATCCTGGGGTCTGGGTGCAGAGGAAAGCCTCCCCACATGGTGCCCCTTCTCCTCCAAGAAGGGTTGAAGACTGGACCAGGCCAGGCCCAGTCGCCTATACTGGCCAGGGGCCTGGAATGTCCTGGGAGCCAGCCAGGGCTGGGAGGGTGGGGGTCAGGTGCCGGGCCAATGCCCCTCTCCAGTTACAAGCTGGGGACCCAGGCCTTGCTATACCCACTGAGCAAGGGCCCCCCCAGGGACAGACTTCTGGCCAGGAGACTAGAGCTTCAAGGGACAAGCCTCTGGCTAGGCTTCTAGGCAGGACCCCAGAAATGTCCTGGGTGGGTGGGCTCCCAGTCTGGGGCTGGCTCATCTCAGAGACCACAGAGCTGAAGCAGCCAGATGGGCACATTCGTGGCAGGGACCTGTGGGAATTGCCAAAGCTGAGGGCGTTGGGAGTTGCCTGACCTCTGGGACATTCAATAAATACCATGCAAATGTGGGGGTAGGAGAGTGCTCTGTGTGACACTTTTTCACCTTCTTTCCAAAAAGACAGCTCCTGCCGGTCTAGAAGCTGGTCTAGAAGCTGCTGCCCATCGCTTGGGGCTGATGACCCCCAGACCATTAACCCCTTATGTTTGGGGGAAGGTTACTTACCCCCTTCCCAAGGCCTCATCCACTGCCCCCACCCTCCCCTGACTCCTAGGACAGGAAGTTGGCTGTGTTCCCAGGAGGGAGGCAGGAGGCCCATAAGGGGGGTGGAGTATGTGTTGGGAGGGGGGCTGCCTGTCCAGTCCTCAGGTCCTGGGCCGCTGCTGTGGAAGGAGAGCCATGAAGGTAATTCTCATGTTTGAGAGGTACAGAGGGGGGCAGGCTCAGCCTGGGGTGTGGAGGCTGGGCCCTGGGGTGGAAAGTCTCCAAAGCAGAGCTCACAGGACAGGGTAGGGTGCTGTCAGTGGGTCTGAAACAAAGCCAGGGGCAGGAGAATGGGAGCTGGGCCCCGAAGAATCAGATGAAGGGAGGTTGAACCCCGCCTGTGCTAGAGTGTGTGTGTGGCCTGGCAGTGTGTGTATGTGCAGGGCACACCTTCCTTTCCCTACTTCGTACCAGGGAAACCAAGGCAGGAGGCCGGCCCACTCTCAGGCTTGGGCTCCCAGACCCTCAGATCCCTGCACCCGGATGCTGGGCAGTCTGAAACAGTGGTTCCCAGCCCCTTCCCCCCACGGAAGTCCCCAAGGGCCTGACAGTCCAGGCTGAGAGACTAGCCAGGACACTGTGTCCCCACTGGTCCTTGAGCCCTAAATTCCCACCCCACCCCTGGGCCTGGCTCTCAGCACCCTGGGTCCCTGCAAACACCTGGCAGGGTGGAGCCCCTAGAGCAGTCTCTGGGGGCCCCCATAGCTCCAGGGCCAGGGGGCCCAGAGGATCCCAGACAGGAGGCTCCCAGCAGGGTAGATCCTGGGAATCTGATCTCCTGGCCTCCCCCACATCCTCCCCCACCCAACTTCCTGGAGCAGCGACCTGCCCCCTTCCCGCCCGCACTCCCCTCCACTTCCAGGGCTGGGCCTCTCCTCACACCAGCCAGACAGCCTCCCCTCCGCCCAGGGGAAGCGGCTGCCTCCGCCTGGCCGCTTCCAGGAAGCCCCAGCCTGGCCCCAGCATTGTTCAGGCCTCTGGGCCAGCACCCGGGCCCACCAGCCACCATGAAGTCCAGCGGCCCCGTGGAGAGGCTGCTCAGAGCCCTGGGGAGGAGGGACAGCAGCCGGGCCACCAACAGGGTAGGAGTGCCCCCACCTGGTCAGAGGAGGGGTGGGGATGGGGGTGAGGGCAGAGTGGGGGCTGGATGCAGTCAGACCCTCTGCCAGTGTCAGCTCTCCTCAGGCTCTTTCTGCCCTGTGTGCCCTCCTCACTTTGCCCGTTTGGGGAGGCCGGGGCTTAGAGCAGATCCTGGCATCCGATTTGGCGTTGCTGTCACCTCCCTGCTCTAGTCTAGGCCAACCCTGGGGGTCCCCACCCCACCCCCAAGTCTGCACCCCAGGTGCTTCCTTGCAAGACCTTGCCCAGCACCATCCCTGAGCCCTAGAGCAGCCCAGGACATGGAGCGGGCCCTTCCCAGAGCGGGACCTTTGGGGGAAACGGGTGGGGGTAGTCCAGAAGAAAGAAGAGGCCAGGTATTAGGGTGCTTCGGAAACAGAACACCTGCTTTCCACCAACATCTGTGTCCCAGTGCAACGGGCTCCAAACCTCAAAGCCAAATCCACGGCCATCCAATGATCCCAACTCAGAGTGAGGCTCCAGGACAGGGTGGGGCTTCCAGAACTGTAAGTCTTTCCTGGAGCAGAAAGTCTCGTCTTGCTCCTGTGGAGCAACAGGTGGGTTCAAACCAAGGACCTGGCCGCTCACAGCTCAAGGCTTAACGCCACTGCACCACCAAGGCCCATAGAAGGGCCCTGCGTTGGATGTAACCCAGTTGCTCAGAGTGCTGCCTGGGTCCCTGGGCTAGGGGAGACCCCGTGAGTCTCTTTCTCCACTTCTCAGCCCGACCCCCAAAGCAGTATAGGACAGCATGAGATGATACTGGGGTGGGGGTGAAGGGCACAGGAGCTGGGACTCCAGAGGGGAGAAGGATGGGAGAGAGAGAGAGAAAGAGGAAGTGAGTTGTCCGTAGGGCAGTGCTTCTCAACCTTCCTAATGCTGTGTTGTGGTGACCTGCCCCCCCAACCAAAAAATCACTTTCATTGCTACTTCATAACTGTCATTTTGCTGCTGTTATGAATCGGGCGACCCCTGTGAAAGGGTTGTTCGACTTCCAAATGGGTGGGGACCCACAAGTTGAGAACTGCTGCCCTAGAGAAATCAGTGGGAGCAGCAGCCAGGGAGACACACAGACCTGGGCTGTGGGGACAGCAAAGCGTCTAGTCCCTGCTTCTCTGGGTGAGGGAGGGCTCCAAAGGACATCGGGGAGACCCTTTCCTCAGGGAGTGCCTGAATCCCTATGGAACATCCGTAAGAGACCGTATCCAGGGGCCACTCTCTGCCTCTCCTCCCAGCATACCCCTTACACAATTGCTGCTTGCCGCCTCAGCGCACAGAGAGTAAACATGTTGTTCTGACAGGAGGGGGGGCAAGGGAGGGCATGTCAGCTGCCTGGAGCTTGGGGACAACTGGAGCCAGGGGAGCAGAACTGCCCGAGGCCACTCAGGCTGAGTCAGTCATGCTACACAGGACATGTCTGGACCTCCCCAAGCCAGGGCACCCTCCCTGTGTCAGCACATGGCCCCCAAGGACATGCCATGCCAAAGCTACAAGCTACGTCAGAGCCTAAGTGACTCTTGGGAGAGAGTGACCTAGCAGCGTGATGCAATGGGTCAGATTCCAGGCACTGTGTAGGATCTAAGGCCCCTTCACTGCCTGGAAGCAGCTGTGGCCCGCAGGTCCTGATGGGGTCCAGGGTTTGAGAGCACCTTAGCACTCTACTGGGCCTTTGGGAGGAGGGACCCAGTGTGGGGTTAGCACTGCTGCCTAATCACTGAGGGAGATGAGCCCACTGGGAAGTGACATTTCTGTCTGTCTGCCCTCTACCCCCAGCCTAGGAAAGTAGAGCCTCATAGCTTCCGGGAGAAGGTTTTCCGCAAGAAGCCACCGGTCTGTGCTGTGTGTAAGGTGACCATTGATGGAACAGGCATCTCATGCCGAGGTGAGTGACTCCCAGACCCTCTGCCCAGTGCCCAGCGGGCACATTCACAGCACCTAAAATAGACTGGGCAAGTTGCCCCTGGGTACGGCAAGCTTGGCAGCCAAGGAACAGCAGCCCCCTTCCTCCCTCACCTGGCCTGCTCCCCACTGCCACCCTTTTCCCCTAAATTCTGCCCCTGCCACCACTCAGCCAGGGCAGTTCAGCTGGAGTCCTAAAGACCCAGGGGCTGGCTCCAGGGAGGCCCGGCCCTCTGCTGCCCAGCAGACTCCTGCTAACACCGACCTCTTCCTCCCTGCCCCTCCAGTCTGCAAGGTGGCCACACACAGAAGATGTGAAGGCAAGGTGAGTCGCTGGGCTCCACCTGGGATCCGTTCTCTGCTCACCCATGGGTGCGAGGGGATGCTGCACGGGGCCCTTTAAGAACCAGCCCACTCCACCCCCTGGCGGGTGGACAGCAAGACAGCGTTTGTCTTGGTGCAGTGCCCAGGCTGCAGCTGGCGAGAGAATGAGGGGGTGGGGGGAAGGAGGAGAAGGAAGGGTGGGGTGGGGGGGTGGGGGGGTGAGCAGGACTTCAGAGACTGGGCTGCCGGATGGGCAGTGCCTTCCCTCTGGGGAAGGATCCTAAGGATACCTGGGTGGGCCTTTTCCTGGGCCCTGGAAAAAGGCCGGGCAGAAGGTACAAGGCCGAGCTAGCACCCTCTGCCCACCGGGACTCAGGACAGCCCCTCCCTGAGGACTGTCCCTCTCTGAGGACTGTCCCTGGTCCTCCTGAGTGCATAGGGTCCCAGGGCCTTGGAGCTGGCTGGTGGGAGCCGCTGTGCCCAGGGGCGGGGTCTCACGGTGAAAGAGGCCAGTGTCCCTCCTGGCCACGGCCTGCCTGCGTGGCTCTCTGTAGCTCCTGCCCTGCAGCTGGATGAATGGGGGCCTGTGTGGGCAGGGGGCTAGAAGCCAAGAGCAACAAGTGGGGGCCCAGGGGTGGGGGAGACCAAGAGGCCAGAGGGGAGGCTCCCTTAAATAGAGGAGCCTCAGTTGGAGCCCATCCGCTGGCAGCCCCTCGACCTGCTTGCTGAAGCTGCAGGGTGGCCCCAAGAGCTCAGCCCCTCACTTGGGTCTCCCTCCAGGTGACTGCATCCTGTCAGGCCGCGCCGCCTGTGGAGCTGGTGAGTGGGCTCCGGGACCGGCCCGGGTGAGGGAGGCACAGCCCTGGCCTCGGGGGGTCCTGGAGAGGTTCCGGGAAGGCTACCCTGAACAGACTGCTGGAGGTTTCTGCCCGTCAGGCTGCCCGGTGGGGAAAAAGATGGCTGAGCCCGTTCTTCCACTGGTTCTGGGGCCCAGGGCTCCCCTCTCCTCCCTTCCCCTAACCACAGCTCTCCCTGGAAGGCTGACAAGTGTCTCCCCCACGGCCCCCGCCCCCCACCCTATCGCCATTCCCCACCCCAAACTGCCCACCAGCACAGACCTGTCTGCTGGCCACGCTAACGCCTCCCTTGCCTCTCCATCCCCCTCTAGCGGCGGAACACGGCCCCGGTCAGGCGCATAGAGCACCTGGTAAGGGGGGGTCGGGGCAGGGAACTTTGGGAGTAAGGACCGAGGTTTCTTCTGGGGACACAAGGGCATGGGGTTGTGGAGGTGGGAACCTGGTGTGGAGGGCGACCTGCCCGACGGGATGTCGAGACGAGGTTTCTCCCCTGCCAGGGATCGACCAAGTCCCTGACCCACTCTAGGCAACGGAGCACTCTGCCCAGGTACGTTGGGTGCCAGCCCCACACCGCACGGAGGGGCCCCCCACAGTGCTCCCCAGGCTCGGAGAACGAGGAAGTCTTCTGACCCCACCCACCCCAGGCCCCAACGGGCAGACCCCCCTGCATCTCACTAGTCGCCCACCTTGGGGCGTCCCACCCCTCTGTCCCCTCCCAGGAGCTTTAGTCTAGACCCGCTCATGGAGCGGCGCTGGGACTTGGACCTCACCTACGTGACCGAGCGGATCCTGGCCGCCGCCTTCCCGGCGCGGCCAGACGAGCAGCGACACCGGGGCCACTTGCGTGAGCTGGCCCACGTGCTGCAATCCAAGCACCGCGACAAATACCTGGTGAGAATAGGCGCCTACCGACATCAACCAATGGGAGGGCCAGAAGGCCCAAATGGGCGAGGCTGTTCACTGACGTCATGTAGGCCAGGCCACGAGGGGCGGAGCCTGAGGGGTGGGGCGCGATGGGGGCTCGGTAGAAGTCGGGCTCTCCAGCTATGTATCCTGCTGCCTGAGCTGGCGGCCCCCGTGTGTGTTTCATAGGCCCAGCCACCAGCCCCGCACACCGCTGTGCCTCGTGCCTGGGCTGCCTTCCTTTTAAACCGCAAACCCACTGCCCTCGAGTCGCTTCGGTATCCTGGCCACCCTCTAGACAGGGCTTTCAAAGACTAAATCTCTCCGGGAAACAGGCTGCCTCATCTTTCTCCCCCAGAGCGACCGGTGGGTTCGAATCCCCCATCTTGCTAAAACTCTCCTTTATTTGCAGCTCTTCAACCTTTCAGAGAAAAGAAATGACCTGACCCGCCTAAATCCCAAGGTAGGAGGGCAGACGCCTGCCTAGCGGCCTTTCGATGCAACGCCTGTCCCATCCCCAGAGGCCTGCCTGCACCCTGAAGGTCACGGCCACATGCCTCAAGCATTTTCCCAGAGACTCCCCCAAAGCATGCATGGTGGTCAGCCCCTTTCGGGGATAAGGAGAGTGCTGAGGCCAGCATGATAACGAGAGCCCCCCCTCCAGGCTCCTATGCCCCATCTCCCTACCTCCAAGACACTCACTGACAGATAGTCACCCCCTGGTACCCCGCAGGTCCAGGACTTCGGCTGGCCGGAGCTGCACGCCCCACCCCTGGACAAGCTTTGCTCCATCTGCAAGGCCATGGAGACCTGGCTCAGTGCAGATCCGCAGCACGTGGTCGTCCTGTACTGCAAGGTGGGTGGGACCTCAGGGTGTACAGGGCTGGGGAGCCTCAGCCTCTGGCGGCAGCAAGCCCTGCATTCCTGTCTCTGTCCCTCAGGGGAGCAAGGGCAAGCTCGGGGTCATCGTCTCTGCATACATGCACTACAGCAAGATCTCTGCCGGGTGAGGCCCTGCCCTCCAGCCATCCCTCCTCCAGCCAGCAACTACGTTCCTTCAAAACAAACTCACTGCCCCGATTTAATGCCAACCCACAGCGACCCTACAGGACAGGGTAGAAGTGCCCCTGTGGGGTTTCAAGGCAATACCTCTTTCCGGGAGTAGAAAGCCCCCTCAGAGAGGCCTTAAATGTGAACTTGACCTTCTCATTTGTTTTCTAACTGCCTTTCACCCACGCAAAGCTCAGGGGACAATTAATTGTCTGGAGTCCAGCCCCAGTAGGGTGATTGTATGTGGGGCTCAGTTCTCCCATCCACACCTCTCCAACCTTCCCTGGGGCTTAAGAATTGGAGGCCTGAATGGTGGCCAGCCCCTAACCTCCCAATCCATCGCGGTCTCCCCAGGGCGGACCAGGCTCTGGCTACACTCACCATGCGCAAGTTCTGTGAGGACAAGGTGGCTGCGGAGCTGCAGCCCTCCCAGCGCAGGTGAGCGGCCTGGGGCAGGGCAGATCACACCGGGATTCTCCCAGCATGCTTTCACCTAGAGCACCCCTGTCCCCCGTGAGAATTTAGAACAATCCAGGTGTCTGCCCTGGTGGACAAGCCGGCTAGGGGGCAGTACACACATGTGTGAAAGGAATACGGAATGCCCTTTGGGACAACCATCAATGCTGTGGAGAAGGTACAGGCTCAGGTGCGACCGTTGGCAGAGACTGGGGCCCAGAGCGCTCTAGGCCTAGGGCAGCTGGGTCTCCAGAGGCATTCAAGTTAGATACAAGGCAAGAAGGTGGGCGGGCAGTTCAGCGGTGAGCAGGCTGCCTGCCCCGTGGGCGCCGAGAGTGCTACGCTGCCACGGTGCACAGACCCCTGCAGCAGAAGGTGCTGATGCTCTCTGCAGGTACATCAACTACTTCAGTGGTCTGCTGTCCGGCTCCATCCGCATGAACAGCAGCCCGCTCTTCCTGCACTACGTGCTCGTGCCCATGCTGCCAGCCTTTGAACCCGGCATAGGTGAGTCTACCTGGGACGGGTTGGGGGAGTGGGGGGCACCATCCACCCGGCGCCCCACAGCACCAGGCATACTTCTCCCTGCCCGCCAGGCTTCCAGCCCTTCCTGAAGCTCTACCAGTCCATGCAGCTGGTCTACACATCCGGTGTCTAGTGAGTACCCCGCCCCTGCCCCCACGTGGCCCCGCCCACTCCCTTCCACCTGAGTTCCTGCCTCTGCAGCCTCCCTAGACACGCTGGCCGCCACTCCTGAACACTAGTGCCTACGTAGAGGCTGCTTCACAGATGGGGAGACTGAGGCCCAGGCAGCAGACCCAGAGAGAGAGGTCCCTGCCCTACTAGTGGTGCAGGGGGCCCAGTGATCCAGCCTGTCCCATCTCCCCGCAGCTGCATTTCAAGCCCTGGCCCACAGCAGGTTTGCATCAGCCTGGAACCAGCCCTGCTCCTCAAAGGCGATGTCATGGTGAGGAGAGTCCTGGGGGAGGTGGGTGGGGAGGATAGCTTTCTGTCAAGGGGTCAAGTCCGGGCAGGCTGGAGGGGGGAGGGGAGTTCCCTAGAGTGGTTGAAGTAGGGCAAAGCTGTGGCCAGACTGCCCCCCACCCCCCCCCAGGGTAGAGGCCCAAGAGGAGGCTTCAGTGAGCACGGGCACCTGACCGCATGGAACCCCACCCCCCACCCCACCCCGGAACTAGGTGACATGCTATCACAAGGGGGGCCGGGGGACAGACCGGACCCTTGTGTTCCGAGTCCAGTTCCACACCTGTACCATCCACGGACCACTGCTCACCTTCAGCAAGGACCAGCTGGACGAGGCCTGGAGAGGTACAGCAGGGACGGGGGACGGGGGAGCCCAGGGGCGGGGCCGGGGGCAAGGGGCGCGACTCCTTCCTGCCCACCTCCCGCAGATGAAAAGTTCCCCTTCCAAGCTTCGGTGGAGTTCGTGTTCTCCTCCAGCCCCGAGAAGATGAAAGGTAAGAAGGCGGCCACGGGCAGGGCCTGAGGGCTGTGGAGCCCCGCCCTCATCGCTGGGTGGTCACGCCGGGTGGTCTTGGCGCAGGCAGCACGCCGCGGAACGACCCCTGTGTCTCCGTGGATTACAACACTGCGGAGCCCGCAGTGCGCTGGGACTCCTACGAGAACTTCAACCTGCACCACGAGGACAGCGTGGATGGTGGGTGCTGAGAGGGGCCGCTTAGGGGTGGGGGTCGCACATCTTCCCAGCAAACTCCCTTCCCATGACGCCCCTGAGCACCTGGACAGAGGCGTCCTCCTCCCACGAACCATCTCTCCGCCTCTTGCTGCCCACTCAGGCTGCCTGACCCACACCCGAGGCCCCCTGGATGGTAGCCCCTATGCCCAGGTGCAGCGGGCCCCCCGGCCGGCACCCCCCGCCCCTACTCCGGACCCGCCGCCACCCCCCATGCTCTCCGTCAGCAGCGACTCCGGCCATTCGTCCACACTGACCACGGACCCCGCGGCAGAGTCCCCAGGCCGGCCGCCCCCGACGGCCGCAGAGCGGCAGGAGCTGGATCGCCTCTTGGGCGGCTGCGGCGTGGTGGGCGGCGCCCGGGGAGCGGGAGCTGGCCGTGAAACTGCCATCCTGGATGACGAGGAACGGCCCCCCTTAAGCCAGGGCCCCCCAGTGGGGATGTACGAGGGCCACAGGCCTGGCCTCAGCCGCCACTGCTCCTGCCGCCAGGGCTACCGGGAACCCTGCAGAGCCCCCAGCGGAGCTTACTACCGGCCAGAGGGAACCCTGGAGAGGCACCGGCTGGCCTGCGGGGGCTACGAAGGGGCCCCCCAGAGCTATGCAGAAGCCTCGGTGGAGAAGAGGCGGCTCTGCCGGTCACTGTCCGAGGGGCCATACCCATACCAACCTGAGCTGGGCAAGCCCACCAATGGCGACTTTGGCTATCGCGGCCCAGGCTACCGTGAGGTGGTGATCCTAGAGGACCCTGGGCTGCCGGCCCTGTGCCCATGCCCTGCCTGTGAAGAGAAGCTGGCACTGCCCACAGCGGCCCTGTATGGGCTACGACTGGAGAGGGAGGCTGGAGAGGGGTGGGTGGGTGAGACGGCCAAGCCTCTCCTGCAGCCGGTACGGCCAGCGCACCCTCTACCCCTGTTGGTACCTTCCTGTGGGCATCACCATGCCCCACTGCCTGACTACAGCTGCCTGAAGCCCCCCAAAGTGGGAGAGGAAGGCCACGAGAGCTGCTCCTATGCCCTGTGCCCTGAAGGCAGGTACGGGCGTCCAGGGTACCCTGCCCTGCTGGCCTACGGCTATGGAGGAGCGGTCCCCAGTTACTGCCCAGCATATGGCCGGGTGCCTCGCAACTGTGGGTCTCCAGACGACAGCAGAGGCTATTCCACCCCGGGGGCCCACTCCCCCTGTGCCGGCTCCATTTCCCCGGGAAGCCCGCCCTATCCACAGTCCAGGAAGCTGAGCTACGAGATCCCCGCTGAGGAAGGAGGGGGCAGGTATCCCCTGCCAGGACACCTGGCACCTGCTGCTGGCCCCTTGCCACCTACAGGTGAGGGCCAGTGGGTGGGGAGCTGGGAAAGAGGGGGGAAGTACAGAGGGCACTACTCCTGGCTCACAGCCTGGCCTCTGTCCCCCCTGCAGAGTCCCCTGAACCTGTCTCTTGGAGGGAGGGCCCCAGCGGACAGAGCACGCTCCCCCGGTCTCCCCGAAGCGCCCCATGCAGCGGCCCCGCAGAGCTGTCGGCTCCCTCCACCCCTTTGCACACCAGCAGCCCGGTCCAAGGCAAGGAAAGGTATGTGCGTGGAGGGGACAGAGGGCTCACTCAGCCCTTCCTTACTTGTGCAGTCAGGTACCAAAGGGCCAGGTGCTGCAGGCCTGCTGACCCCGTCCTCTCCTGCAGGTCGCCCACCTTGGGGCCCGCTCAGAGACTCAGTCCCCCCCTGGCCTCGCCCCCTGTGGCCCAGGAAGGCCCTGGAAAGTCTCCTGAGCTGACAGCGCAAAGTGGCCCTGAATCTCCGGCCCCCGGAACTTCCAGCCCAGCCTCTCCTCCCAGGTGCCCCAATGACTGGCCTCAGGAAAGAAGCCCAGGGGGCCACACAGAGAGTACCAGTCCACGGAGCCCAGTGCCCACCACACTGCCTGGCCTCCGCCATGCACCCTGGCAGGGCCCCCGAGGCCCCTCAGACAGCCCGGATGGGTCCCCTCTCACCCCTGTGCCTGCCCAGATGCCCTGGCTGATGGCCAGCCCAGAGCCACCTCAGAGCTCACCTACACCCGCCTTCCCCCTGGCCGCGACCTATGCCACCAATGGCCCTGCCCAGCCCCCACTTCCTGAGAAACGCCACCTGCCTGGGCCTGGGCCGCAGCCAGGGCCCTGGGGCCCAGATCGGACCTCGCCACCAGCCAGAAGCCCCAGTCACCACGTCACCTTCGCACCCCTGCTCCCAGATAACAGCCCCCACCTTCCAGGTATGAAGCCCCAGCAAGAGGGTGGGGCCACTTGGAGAAAACCTCCATCCAGGGGACTTGGGAGCCCTGGGCATGAACACAGCCTCTCTCCCCCGTCTCAGAGTCCTCTACACATGAGAGCCAAAGCAATGTCAAGTTTGTCCAGGACACATCCAAGTTCTGGTACAAGCCACATCTCTCCCGCGACCAAGGTGAGGTCCCAGCTGCCCAGCCCTCCCCAGTCTGCAGGTTGGAGGGGAAGCCCCTGGTGCCTGCCTTGGCTGGGCCTCCCCCTAGGCAGGATTCTGCGCTCAGCCTGAGGGATGTGGGCTGAATACCACCACTCCCAAGCTCTGCCCTCAAAGGCCCCAACACTACCACTGCCACGGCAAGAGAGGCCGGGGAGCTTGGTGAGGAGCGGGAGGGCATACTCGGTAGCTGTGAGCTGGATCTGACACCTTCCCACCCTCCCCAGCCATCGCCCTGCTGAAGGACAAGGAGCCGGGGGCCTTCCTGATCAGGGACAGCCATTCATTTCAAGGGGCTTATGGACTGGCCCTCAAGGTGGCCACACCTCCACCCAGTGCTCAGCCCTGGAAAGGTAAAGACGGGGGTGTGGAACTGATGGATCTCAGAGGGACGAGGAGTCGGGCATGCCACGCATCGGTAGGCAGAACAACAGGACCGGGCCTGACACTCCCCCGCTTCCTCCCAGGGGACCCCTTGGAACAGCTGGTCCGCCATTTCCTCATTGAGACTGGGCCTAAAGGGGTGAAGATCAAGGGCTGTCCCAGCGAGCCCCACTTTGGTGAGAGGCAGCTGGGGGAAGGCCACCTCTGGGTTGGTTTCAGGGGGAGGCTGTGGACTCTCCAGAGGGATCTGACCTCCCAGAGTGTTTGCCTCTCCCTCCTCCTGCAGGCAGCCTGTCCGCCCTGGTCTCCCAACACTCCATCTCCCCCATCTCCCTGCCCTGCTGCCTGCGCATTCCCAGCAAAGGTGGGTGCCCGTCACCTGGCCCTCATTCCCTCCACCATTGCCCTCAGCTCCCAGGCTTCCCTGGGGAATGGTGCCCCCTTCTGACCTCTTGGTTGGCCCTCATTCCCCCAGACCCTCTGGAAGAGACCCCCGAGACTCCCGTGCCCACCAACATGAGCACAGCGGCAGACCTCCTTCGTCAGGGTGCCGGTAGGTAGGGGCCTCCCTCCCTCCCTGTAGGGGCCTCCCTCCCTCCCTCCCCTCCCCAGGCATCAAAGGGGCATTGCAGGTACAGGGCATGGGCCGTGAGCCGCCTTGAGGTGGCTGGGCCCAGGAGGCATTGACCCATGGAGGAGGCAGCGGAGTAAGAGGTGGCTAGGGGCACCCTCAAGCTCCTCTCCTGGAGGGCTTACTGGAATGTGAGTTTCCAAGTCCCCTCCTGAGCTCCAGGTTCTCGAGCCAGGGTCTGCCCTAGTCCCTTTCAGCAGGTTACTGTGTGGCTCTGAGGTTGAGGAGGTCGAGGGTGGGAGGGGGTGGGGGGATGGGTTTGGGAAGCAGAGGACGATCCGGATCTGTCCCTCTGCAACCACTGCCCACCCGCCCCCGCAGCCTGCAGCGTGCTCTACCTGACCTCAGTGGAGACTGAGTCCCTGACGGGCCCCCAGGCCGTGGCCCGGGCCAGCTCAGCAGCTCTGAGCTGCAGTCCCCGGCCCATGCCAGCTGTGGTCCACTTCAAGGTCTCGGCCCAGGGCATTACACTGACAGACAACCAAAGGAAGTGAGTGGTGGCCAGGCACCCCCAGGGCGGGGTGGGTGCGGCCGGCTCTGGCCCTTGGGTTCCAGTGTGACCCCTCCCCTGCTCCTCGCAGGCTCTTCTTTCGCCGCCATTACCCAGTGTCCAGCATCACCTTCTCCAGCACCGACCCTCAGGACCGGAGGTGACCCTTCCCTCACATAGCCCCCCTGGCCCACAGGCCGAGTCCCCAGCCCCAGGTCCCCCTCCCCGCTGCTGGCCCTGGGCTATGCCTTCACAGCTCTCCTCCCCCTGCAGATGGACCAACCCTGACAGGACCACCTCCAAGTAAGCCGCCCCATGTGGCCCGCCTCCGCCCACCTGCCTGCCTGGAGCCCGTTCCGTGCCCTGGGGAGTCTCATGGAGGGCCCCCCCCAACCTGAGGCTGTGTCCCCCTAGGATCTTTGGTTTCGTGGCCAAGAAGCCGGGGAGCCCCTGGGAGAATGTGTGTCACCTCTTCGCAGAGCTTGACCCAGACCAGCCTGCAGGTGCCATCGTGACCTTCATCACCAAAGTCCTACTGGGCCAGAGGAAGTGAAGACGACCACTAGGGGCCCTCTTCCCCTCCCCCACCCCATCGCCTCACGCCCTCCAGCCCCCCCGCCCCCCGGGGTGGGCCCCAGCCTGGCACACTGCTCTTTCTCAACCCCAGCCTGCTAAGCCAAGTGGACAGCCGTGAGATGACCTTGCACGTGAGCAGATGTCAGAGGTGGGAGTGTGAGGGGGAGGAGCCATCGGCGGTGGAGTCCTGGTGGGGCCAAGGCAGCCCCAGCTGGACAAGAATGTCAACCTTGGAGGGGCCGGCCCTGCTTGCTCCACCCAGCTGCAGGTCTCAGGTGGTGGGAGAGGGGCGAGGCACCCCCTCCCCAGCAGAGGGACCACATGAAGAAGGGAACAAAGAGTCTATTTTTGTGTAATAATAAAGAATCTATATACATTTTAGTCAGCCTTAGTCATGCCTTGGTGTTTATTCTCTGGGAGGCCGATCCTGTGTCTCCTGGGACAGCCCAGACTTACACAGGGTCCCACCTCCGTCCTCCCTCGGCTGCCCCTCCAGCCATGTCCCAGAAAGGAGCCCCATCACAGCGGTTCTGATAAATAGGGAAACTCCATCTTTATTGGTGTATAAACATCTCTGGTCTGTACATTCATTTCATACATCATAGTGCAGGGCCTGACGGGAGGGCGGGGGGGCCCCAGCAGCAGACAGCTCACCCAATTGCCCCACAGCCTCCCCGCTCTGTGCAAACCAAGGCTAGCAGCTCCTGCTCCTTCCTTCTCCCAGGGGAGGTCACCATACAGGGAGGGGCTTGGGAAGGGTGTAGGAGGAAGAGAGGGCTTGGAGGGGGTGGGGGCACAAACACGGAAGCAAAACAGGCAACTGGCACAAGCAGCAAGTGGGGCAGGGGGTACAGGTAGGGAAGGCCAGGACCAAGCTGTCTCTCTGAGCTCCCCGGGCTGAGGCAGGAGATATGCTCCAGGGCCCCAGCGTGCAGCCCAGGGAGCTAGGGACAAGGGGACGAGAGGCGACAGCATACCACAGACCCAGTACCTCCCCGCGCCCCACACACCGCCCCTCTGGGGTAATGGGAAACCATCTGTGTGTACTGGTTGGAGGTCAGGGGCACCCAAACCTCTGTGGGACTACGGTGTCTGAGCAGGGAGTGCCCCGGCTCTCAGCAGAGAGCGGGGCTCTTAGAGGAGGAGTCTTCTTGGGGCAGCAGCCAGGGAAGGGGGAGAGATAAGCCCAGGGAAGCCCCCCTAGCCCAGCCAGGGGGGATGACAGCAGCAACTGATTCACAGGAGAAATAAAAAAAGGTTCACATGAAGAAATAGAAAAAAACAAAAGGGTACAGAATGCACGAAGAATACTGTGGTAAAGGGGGGGGCGAAGAATACTGTGGTAAAGGGGGGGAGGGTCTCTACCCTCGGGCCGTGCAAGGCCTCATGACCACATAGCAGCTGAAAATGGGGTGCTCACTCCTCTCTACTCCAGTGGGGCCAGAGAGGAACAGGGGCCTGGCAGCTAGTGGCCCTCTGTCAACCCCGTTCTTTGGGTCTGTTCCTGCCCAGCAGGCCTCCGGCCCAGGGGCTGCTGACAGGGGCAGCAGCAGGTCAGAGATGGGGGCTCCGAGGAGTCGGCAGGGGGCAGCGTGCCCTATATGCCCCCTGGTTAAGCAAACCCTTGGACATGCCAGGCCCTGGGTATCTGGCCCTGCCCAGGGAGCAGCGGGAACAGGGCTGGCCCTGGGAGAGGGCCCTAGCCGCTCAAGGGGTGCAGATCAACTTTAACTTTCTCCCCACAGCTCAGCATCCCAATGGTGGGGAAGAAGCCTCCAGAAGGAACCACAGCGTCTTTCTTGCCAATGATCTTGCCATTCCGGGTGAAGAAAACCTGGTGGTGGGGAGAGGGGGTGTAGGTAGAGTGCCAGGCCCTGGTCTCTCTGAGGACCCTGGCCTCAACCACGCTCAACTCCAGCATGGAGAGAGGAGGAGAGGTGAGTCAGTGATACAACAAGTGGCCACAGGAGGGCAGACTTGGGCTGGGAACCGGCCTCCGCAGACCAGTCTCCGTGTCAGCAGCCCCACTAAGTGCTCAGGCCTTTGGGCTCCGACTGCTCCTCCCACCGGGGCCCCACCCACCTGCCCACTCACCACCACCTTCCTGCCCTCATGCTCCTGCTCCAGCTCCTCCCCGTCTTCCTCCTCTTCCTCCTCGTCGTCTTCCCCCTCCTGGTGCAGGTACATGACGTTCCGGACGTTGCGCATGGCCCGGGCAGTCGGGGACAGGATCACTGTGTCACAGCTGTCATCGCTGTCACCTAGCAGGGCGGGAGGCTGAGCGTCTGTGGTGTCCCCGCACCCAGCACCCCTGCCTGCCAGGGCCACGGCCACGGCCACTCCACTCACCCTCGCTGTCCAGGATGTAGTCTCGGGGGAACATGATCCCACACCCCATGATGTCGCCTTTGTAACAGCGGGGCCCGAAGGGGTCCCCGACACCACTGCCGTGGAAGATCTTGCCGTCGTCTGGGGGATGAAGGAAGAGGGAGGGATGCCACTGGAAGCCCTCACTCGAAGCACTCCAGGCGAGAGGGGAGCAGGGGACCAGCGGAACAAAGATGGGGGTGGGAGTGGGCAGAGAGCCCCAAAGTCCATCGGCTCAGCGCTTTGGAAGAACTCCCGCCGAGGGACTGGTCTGCAGAGTCGGGGGCAGGGAGGCACAGAGAGCAGGGACACGCAGGGCGGGAGGGCAGGAACTGGGAGTTTGCGCCTTTCCTCAAGAAATCCCTAAAAGGACCACATGCCCCGAAAGCAGGAAGGCAGGACACTGAGGAAGCCAGCCCAGCAGGCTGGGAGGACAGACTAGGAGCAGAGAAAGCAATGGTGACTAAACGAGAGTGGGGCTGGGGGGGGCGTGTCGGGAAATGGGATGTCCACCTCCCCTGCCAGCCTGCTTCCCCAGAGCAGCCTTCTAGGGAAGGGCCCTCACTCACCGGCATGATAGGCCACGGACCCCCTGCTCCAGCCAGGATGCCGGTTCTTGGGGTAATCCTGCACCGGGAAGGAAGGAGGGGGAGAAAGCCTGCCTCTGGAACCAACACAACCCAGGAAGAGCATCCAGCCCACCCTGGGGTCCCTGCAGCCCCTCACCCCCTGCAGGCACATGGGGCCGCAGAGCATGCTAAGAAGGGGCCCTGGCTGCCCCTCCCAGCCAGGTCCTAGGTCACAAGGGGCTGCCCTCCTACTGCAGCTCTGTACACCTGTGCTGTGTCTCAGTCTGAAATCTGCCCAGAAACCAGGCCCCTACCTCCCCCAGACCTTCCCACCCACATCCCAACAGCCCCAAGACCGAGCCGCCCCACAGGCAAACAGGTGCCCACCTTCCGGGCCAAACCCAAGGCGATGTAGCATTTCTCCCCAGGGTCCACGATCTCCACCTCGAAGTAGTGGCTGCGGGTGCTGAGCGGGAGCCGGGCCTGGGCCAGCCCCACGTCCACGATGCTCTTGCCCTTGCCCAAGTACTCCAGCACCTGGGGAAGAGGGAGAGGCTGGGCAGCCTGGCACACCTGGCCCCGAGCCAGTTTTCTGGGTTGGACAAAGCCCCTGTGTGGAAGGCGAAGGCACCGGAGGGACAATGTGGCCTCGGGGCTCTGGGGAGGCCGAGGCCAGGAAGGTGGGGTAGGGGGCTCTGTGGAGTCCAGGTCAACTGCTATTCCCGCATTCACTCCTCAGACCCGGACCTCTCCAGATCTGCAGATGGCTTCCTTTTACAGTCGGCGGCAGGCCAGCCCAGGCGGGGTCTCAAGGCTGCACCCTCATGTCCCCCAACTAACCCTGCAGATTGCTCTGCTGGGGAAGTCTATCCCCAGGGACCAGACACTACCACCCAGCCAGGACAGCGCAGGACTGGCCCTGCAGGGTTTCGGAGAATGGAAAGCTTTGCAGAAAGCAGACTGTCCACGCTTTTGCACTGTCGCAGCGGTTCTCAATCTGTGGGTCGCGACCCCTTGGGGGGTGGAACGACCCTTTCACAGGGGTTGCCGGATTCATAGCAGTAGCAAAATGATAGTTATGAAGTAGCAACAAACATAATGTTATGGTTGGGGGGTCACCACAACATGAGGAACTGTCTGAAAGGGTCTCGGCATTAGGAAGGTTGAGAACCACTGTCTAGGAGCTGCTGCTGGATTGGAACCACTGACCTTGACCCAGTGCTTAACCCACTATGCCACCAGGAGTCCGTGCCAGACCTGAAGTGCAGACTAGACGGGGCACATGAAGGGGCAGGGGGGTGGTCTGGCGCAGGGCCGAGTTTGCGATGGGCCAGGCGTCCTCAAACTGCAGCCCACCGGGGACATTTATCTGGTCCACCGCGTGTTTTTGACCGGTTTTTTACTTCAAAATAAGATATGTGCAGTGTGCTAGCAATTTGTTCATAGTGGTTTTTTTTAAACTATAGTCCGGCCCTCCAACGGGTCTGAGGGACAGTGAACTGGCCCCCTGTTTAAAGAGTTTGAGGACCCCTGAGCCAGGCGATGATGTCTCCATGTTCCCTGTGGCTAGAGAGGGAGGTCAGATGGAGCTGGGAAGTCAGGTGGGCCTGGGCCAGCTCCTCGTTTCTATTTCAAGCTGGAGGACTTGGGGGATGACAGATGGGTCCTTGCCTGGGCAGTCCTGCCTGGGCACGACAGGGCGGCCACCTTCAATCTGGGAGGGTTTATTTATCCGTTGCCATGGAAACAGTGGAATTATAACTCAACTCCATCCTTCTCTCCCCTCACCCACGGCATCACCTGGACTTCCTTAATCCCCTTTTAATGAGCCCGACTGCCTTTCCAGACTTCTATCTTCCAAGGAAGTACAAGCCCTGGGGACCTCCTCCTCGGGCCCCTGGCAAGCCATGGAAGAGGGCTGGCCTCTCCTGGCTGAGGATGCCTGCCTGACAGGAAAGGGGCCCAGTGCCCTCATCTACAGGAGAGGCTACTGAGCACCCCCGCCCGTCCAGGGTGGGGCGCAGAAAGAAGCCCTCGGGTCCTTCTCAGCTTCAAATACCTGCCCCCTCACAACCCACCCATCCTCCCTCCTCTCCAAAAAGAAGTGGGGGCAGCGGGGCAGGCAAATCCAGGGATGGATGGAAGAGCACGCCAACACCCCACCACCCCCACCCCTACACCCCTGCAGGCAGGCACAGGCCTTCTATCATTCCTGATACCAGGGCCTGCACGCTAAGCCGGAGCCCTCCTCGGGGTCCCGGCTGCTGTCTCGGTAGGGCGGCCCGCAGGTTGTCTTCTGACTGACCAGGTGCTAGTGAGAGCTCGGGCAGCAGAAAGGGGAGGCTGTCTGCTTCAGAAAGACTTGCAGCCTCAGAAGCCCCGTATGGAGTCCCGAGGCATTGGCATCGATCGATCTGATGGTAGCAGGTTTGGGTGGGTGCGTTAGGGCCTGTAAGGAGCTCTGGTGGGACCACAGTGTCGCCCTCGGCTGCTGACTGTCCCCTGCAGGCTCCTCCTGTGAGGATCCCAGCCAAGGAAACCAGCTCTGCTCCGGCTCGGCACACAGGTCAGAACTGCCTCCGCGCAGCTGACAAGTAAGGCTGTGCTGGCCTCCATGTGGCGCTCTCTCCTCTGCTGCACTTCCACCCAGAGCCCCCCCCTCCCCCCGCCCACCCTCGGCTCCCAGCATTGCAGCCCTGGGTGGGGGACCTCACAGCTGCCCTGGCCCACTCCATCCAACTGGCCTCAGCATTGGAAACACAGTGTTCTCCAGTTCCCAAGCCAAAAGAACGCTGGTCCAGATCCCGAGCCTTGGGAAAAACCCGCCCAGCCATTCTCCCTGCCCCAGCCGCTGGCGGTTTCTCTGCGGACAGGGTGGAGTGTGTCCTTAAGCACAAGGCCAAGAGGCCAAATGCACAGACCCAGGACTCTGGCTGACCCTCCTCCCCACAGAGCAGCTGAGGACTGCGGACACCCTGGACAGTGAGGTCCCTGCCCATGCTCAGAGCGGACGCCATCAGCGTTCATCTGACTGCCGTGGGCTAAGGCCTCCAAAGCCGCTCTGAGCACAGGGCTGGGAAAGGAAGGGGAGTTTGGCATCTCTGGCAGAGCTTGCCTACAGCCCCGCTGCTTCCTGTCCAGACTGTAGGTGATGAACCAGTGGGTGGCTTTGCCCTTCGAGTCTGTGGTGCTAGAAATATTGACGGTGGCCCCTCAATCTGGGCCTCAGATGCCTCTTGGTTTGCTAGAGATTCAAGCGGACTTGCGTTCAAATCCTAAGTTCTGTTATGATTAGCCCGACCTCACCGTAAGGAGCCCTGGCAGGTTCCGAGTTGGGCTGCTAACCTCAGGTCTGCAGTTCTAATCCCCCAGCTGCTCCTGAGGGAGAAAGATGAGGCTTTCTACTCCTGGTAATACTTTCAGCCTCGGCAGTCCAGGGCAGTGCTGCTCTCAGAACTGACAGGATGGGGCAGCGAGCTGGGTGGTTTCTATTTGGGGGTACCTCATCTGTCCCCGAAGCCCGGCCAGAGTGCTCCCCGGGGGTCTCACACGCTGGTGAGCAAGACTTCATCTGACATGGTTTGGGCATGTTGTCCGACCAGCCCCGGGGAAGGCCGTCGTGTGGGTAATACTAGGGGGGCAGCCACAGAGAGGCTGGCTTGGCGCGGCCTCCATGCGCTCAAGCACAGGACACCTGTAAGGAGGGCGCAGGGCCGGGCAGTGCTTCATTCTGTGGTGTGCAGGGTCGAAAACGACATGACTGCCCCTAACGACCCCCACCCCCACCCCCAGGGCAAGTTATTTCCAGCTCTGTACCGGACATCACCACCACAGCACGGGACTCAGTCAGTCAGACCACTGGGGGCGAAGACGCGCAGGGCTGGGCAGAGTGTCACTCTGTTGTACAGAAGGCCACCAGGAGCGGACGCACAAGAAGCCCATTTTGTCATCAGTGGGACGCACACCACAGTCCTTGCCTCCCCACTAACGAGAGGTGGGGGCTAAATGAAGACACTGCCGATGCCAGGCATGGCGCGAAGCACCCAATCCACACGCCGGCCTCTCTCTAGGCCAGGTGGGGGGCTCCACTAGCACGGCGCGCACATCAGCTATGTCGAAGGCCCAGGGCCCACAGGGACGCATGGGGGCTCTAGGACGGAGCAGAGCTGCCCCCCAGGCGTTCCGAGGCCGTCTCATTATGGAAGCAGGTCACCAGGGCTTCACTCCCTCGGAGCAACTGGTGGGTTCACACCAAGGGGCACCCACTGAGTCACCAGCGTTCCTCGACAAGATAAGATCAAACTCACTGCCTGTACGTCAATTCTGACTCACAGTGACCTGGTAGGGCAGGGAGGAACCGCCCCTGTGGGTTTCCCAGAGACTGCAACTCTGAGTAGAACGCCTCATCTTTCTCCCTCGGAGCAGCGGGTGGTTTCGAACAGCTGACTCTGTGGGCAGGACCCCAATGCATAACTATGCCACCAGGGCTCCTGATGAAATATTTATTCGACAGTTAGCTGTCACCCCAGAGCTAGACGCGTCTGGACCCACCAGTCACAGAGAAGGAAGAGGGTCTTTCTCTTGGCCCTAACCTCCAACTGGAACGGGGGCCGGGGCTGCCCCGTGCTGCTCACTGACCACTCAGGTGGCTCCACTCCAAACGACCACGTGTCATTCCCAGCGTTTCCTTTCAAGCAGTGCCCCATCAACAGAAGTGCCCCCACAGGTCCCTGGGCTAGGGGAAATCCTCTCCTGAGGCTGCAGCACCTCCCCCCTCCTCTCCACCACAGACAGCAGAGCTTGGTGCCCCGGAGCCCAGGCTGCAGATCAGCGTGCAGGGCCTCCCCAGCCTGCTCACTCCTGCCAGTCTCCACCCTTCTCGCCCTGCCAACAGAGAACCTAATCCCTCCTGACAGGAGCTGGGGAGGGCTCAGTACCCAGGGGGCCAGAGCAGTTGAAACAGGAACAGTGAACATACTTCCCACCGGCCAGCTCAGGCCCAACACGGTCTCCCCCTGGGTTGGGTCTGGGGAGGACCCCTGGGGGGCGGGGCCTCGTTCACTCCCTGTGTACAACAAGGCCGTGGCCGTCATCGCTAAGGAGTAGTCGGGGGAGCTATGAGCAGGAAACAAAGACAGTCGAATCCCGCTTGCCTGAGCTGGGTCTGTCTATATATGGGTACTTGGTTAGAGAAATGGTATTTAGATCAAAGATCCTGAAGTCAAAGACGACAGCCTTTAGTATGGCTTACACAGCTCCACGTACAGCACAGAGCGCCTCACACCTGGGCCCATAAGCCGATGCACCGAGGAACACGGAAGACAGTCGTGGACTTCACGTCACTCACGTGGATCCCATAGTCAACGCCCGGGGGAGCAGTTGAGAAGCCAAAAGACACACCAGCCGCACTGTGCCCCTCTGCTGCAACAGACTTCTTCACCATGGTAAAGGGCAAGCCCGTCACTTTACAGGCGAAGGTGTGCCTGCCTCCAACCTCGCACGCCTGCCCAAGCTGCGCTGTGGACGAGCAAGACCGAAGAAGAACGGGGTGTCCTGTGAACTACAGAGCCGGCCAAGGACAGTGACCCACAAAGGGCCTGCCAGAGGAATGACAAGCTCAGCTTGGAAGAGGCACAGTCAGCGCTCCTTAGCAGGGAGGGCAGCAAGATTCCATCTTCTGTCCCTTGGACATGCCATCGGGAGGGACCAGTCCCTGGGGGCCATGCTAGGTAAAGTGGCAGGTCAGCAGAGGAGAGGAAGGCTCTCAGTGAGAGGGAACAACACGGGCATCCGCAGTGGGTCAGACACAGCAAGCATCAGGATGGGGAGGACCAGGCAGCACCATTCTGTTGTGCCCAAGGCCACCAAGAGTTGGAGCCAATAACAACAGATGAAACAAACATGACCCCATATTCACGGCGGGGGAATCTAGGGCAAAGGTATCTATGTCTTGTTCATACTAGTAAAAAAAAACAAAAAATTCTGTATGCTTGAAATTTTTCATACTGAAATGGTGGAGGGGGAAAAAAAGAGAAAGACCAAGAACTGAGTTCGTTCTTCTTCATGGGAAGAACTAACAAGAAGAGAGGAGATCTGACCCCCAATGGAAAGGACTAGTTCAATTCCAAGGCAGTCAAGTCATCCCAGCTGGGAGAGCCTTGGTTCCAGAAGCCAGACAGGCGATTTTGAAGGGACGTTGGGATTCAAACCCAGGGCTCAGGGTTCATCTGGTCAGGAAGCAGGAGAGGGGGGGTGAGTGGTTACAGAAGAGCAGGCTGGAGCAGAGAGTAGAAGCATCTCGTAGCAGGGGAAGAGGCTTCGGGCAGGGACCGAAGGAGGACTTTCTGGGCCGAGTCTTGATCCTAATGTGCTGTTTGACACTTGAACAAGCCTCTTCAGTTTGCTCTGAAATGGTTTCCAGCAAGAGCAAAACCAGAGGCCATCAGGAACCATGCAGGCATAGTTTGGGCTCTGCCACAGGACACAGGAGGGGAGGGACTAGCATTTTCTATGTCCCGGTGCCAGGAATGCTAATGTCCTGTACAGCAAAAAGGAGCCCTGGGCGGGAGTAGTGATCACGTGTTGAGCTGCTCACCACAAGGTCAGCAGTTTGAAACCATCAGTGGCCCTGTGGGAAAGAGATGAGGCTTTCCACTCCTGTAACGAGTTCATTCTCAGAAACCCACCCACAGGCACGGGTCGACCCTGTCCCCTAGGCTCGCTAGGAGTCCACATTCACTCCAAAGCAGTGTTTTCCCGCTCTGTTTTTGTTGGTTTGCACATCAGAGAACTGTCCCATCTAAATGCCAACAGTGTCCCCCTTGGGAAACCTTGGTCTGGGAGACAGCCACGCCTCTCCCCAGTCCGTGATGTCACAGACCAGTCGCGCCTCCTCACCCGGGGCAGCAGAAACAAAAGCAGGGAATGGGGTTCCAGACACGGCGGAGGCCCCCACCTGAGAAGGCAGCCAATGGCAGGGCCGGCTCATGGGGAAGCAGTCATGCTGAAGGTCTCCAGTCACAAGAGCAAAGAGACGGCTCCTCCGGGCTGACAGACGTGCCATCACTGGGTCTGAGCCATGGGGGATGGTGAGCAGGGCCAGGAGGCGGCCAGTGATGGAAAGCAGGCAATTTGTCTGAGAAATGGAATTACTGGCTAGGCTAGAGAGCTCACGTCCCTCAGGAGGCTCCTGGCCAGGTCTACCCAGAGGGGGAAGTACTCAGGGGGAGTGTCCCCACCCCGTAACTGAGGGGAGTCGGGGGAGTGGATGTCAGTCCAGAAGCAAACTCAAGAGCTCTGTGCGAGGGAGAAACAGCCCCTCAGAAGTGACCTGAAGGCCTTGGGGGACGGACAGGGAGGAAGGCAGGCTATTTATAAACGTCGACAGGGTTTTGCATCCATTTGAAGCGAATGCGTGCGAGGAGCTGGGGCAGTGGGGAAAGGCCCAAGCAGGGAGAGGGTGCCAGGAAAAAGCTCTTGAGGAGCAGTCAGGGATGAGAGCTGGAACGTGGCCCTGGCCCTGGCCCAAGTTCAACTCTCGACGGTGTCCAAATGACGGGGGAAGGAGAAGACAGCGGAGGGATGAAGGCCGAGGAGTGGGCAAGCAGGGCATGCTGCCTCCCAGCCGCTGGGACCCTGGGACCCTGGGCTGAGAGCCCTGCAGGACTGAAGGATCCAAAGGCGTGCTTTCGGCCACTCTGCGCCACCACCCTGCCCTGAGGTCGCCTCACCTTGAACTCCAGAAGGAGGGGCCTTGCTCATAACCCACCCACCTCCCACTGCTTCTGTTTTGCTCTCAAAGGCTGACAAGAACAGCAGGGCTAGGTGAGAAGGCCGGAGGGTGGAGAAGAAGGCCAGCCACCTGGGGGGATGGGAGCAAGGGGGCAACAAAGGGGCAATTCAAAGTAGGAGGGCTGAGCAGTCCACTAGGGGTCACTGCCAGACCCCCTGACTCAGGGTTCGTTCACTCCCAACCCAGCAGGCGCTCTCCGGGTAGGTATGCAGTAATTCCCTCCCTCGTGCACCCTCAGCCCAGCCCACCCACCCCGTGCTGCCCAAGAATGTTTAAAATCGAGGGTGGGAAAGACTAAAGCAGGCTTGAAGGGGGGGTTCTGTCTGAATCCTTATAAAATGTGGGGTATGGCAGACGAGACTGGAGGGAAGCGTACTCCCAAGGGAACCCTCCAGCACGTGTGTGGATGGGGGACCCTACCTGCCCCACGGCGAGGGGGCCAGGGGAGCAGGGGTCAATCCCGAAGGGGATACCAGCTGCCTAGCCTCAGAGGCAAGTGCGCAGGGCAGGAGAGGCCCAGGGGGACTGCGGCTCTGACACCGGGTAAGGGGCGGAGGAAGCAGCCTGCACGAGGGTCCAGGCGATCCTGCCCAAATCCCGGGGCCGCAAAGCCCCAGCACGGACCCAGCCACCACTTTCCACTGGAACTCGGCAGACAGGGGTCCCTGCTCCGCCCTCCACTGTCTCATCACCCTTACGTACAGTCCCGCAGACTCGGACATCATGCAGCCGGCCCCACTCGTCCTCATAACTGTCCACCATCATGACGCTGTCGTCCTCACGGCCCAGCTCAGCATTGAGGTGCAGCCGCACCTCCTCGCCCAGGGAGTGCATGCCCACTGCCGGGAAGAGCCCGTCGGGGGACATGGGCATGATGGTGGAGCCCACCTGCAGGGGAGAAGGGAGGGGGTGGTCACCTGGTTCATTTTTCCAAAGCTCACAAGGGTACCTTTGAGACGAGGTAACAAATAGCTACCTACCACCCACGCTGGGGGAGTAAAAGAAAACAAAGCCGAGGTACAGACAGGTCGATAAGCGAGCCAGGACTCCACCAAGCAAGCCCAGGTCTTGCGGTTTGCTGCCACTTTGGGGACAAGTGAGAGTGGGTTGCAGTGGAAAAACGCTGGGGCGCGGAGGCTGAGAGCAGGGCCTCGCAGACAAGGCCTGGGAAGACAACCTGCAGCCCAGCAAGGACAAAGCTGCCGCTAGCTCCCTCTTCCATCTGCTCGTGCCCCATCTCTGCACCCCTAAAAGCAGGTGGCGAGGAGACTCGGAAGAAGGGAGACAAAACAGAAGAGAGGGAAACAAAAGAGAAAGGGCCCAGTCCTCCAAAGCGGTCATGTCAGCACCTCAGCCAAGCCACCTTCTTCCCAGCGTTGAGTCTGCTCTAAACCTTCCCCCATTAGTCCTAGGATCTCTGTCCACCCTGGCCCTTTCTGCCAGTCACCTGGGCCATGTCCCAGCTTCTGCTACCCCGCCTCCCCCCCGGTTTCAGGAGAAGCTGAGGTTGGATGGAGGGGGATGGGAGCTACGGACCGTGGGTGAGGGCCAGCCCAGAGTCTTTCTAAGCAGTACCACAACAAGTCCTTGCGCCCCGTCAGGCTCTGGGTCGCACCCAGCACCGCACTCACCCGCTTCCCGTTTCTGGTGAAGAAGATCTGGGCCGTCTGCACATCAAAGGACACAGGTTCAATGCCGCAGCCAATCCGGTCCCCGGAGTTACATTTGGAGCCAAACTGACGGCCCTTAGCTCGGCCATTGTACAACCTGTGGACAGAGCAGCACGGACACAGGGCCCCCGCCTGGCTGAGCACCCCACCCCAGGCAATCTACTCATGGGCCTGGCTAGGGACCTCACCCTCCCTTCTAAGGCTGCAAGGCTCCCACGGTACCCATCGGGTTTCGACACTCCCGGGCAGGTGAGGCAGTGGGGAGCACCCGTCGTCCTAGCTAAGACCCTCAGAGACCCAGGGCTGGGGTCGGGGCCCACAGGGAGCCGCAACTCACTTGCCGTCGTCAGCGTGGTAGGCGACGGAGTCCGGCAGCCAGCCCGGCTGGTGATCCAAGCTGTAGTACTGTGGCACCAGCCCCACAGCGATGGTGCCCCGGACTCCGCTGTCCACAATGGACACCTGGAGCGAGGAGACGGGCAGGGTCAGCGGGGACCGGAGGGAGGGGGGTGAGAGATCAGAGACACTCGTGAGGAGTTCCACTGAGCCAGAGGAAGCTCAGGGGAAGAACTGTGGGGAGAGGAGGCCTTTCTTACAGAACAATTTCCAAACCAGGGGAAAAGGCAGGAGGTGGAGTAAGTACTGACTTGGGGCAGGAGGCTGGGAAGGACATGGGAAGGGCATGCCCCCCAGGTGAGGGGCAGGGGACCAGAAGAGACTCCGGGATACCAAGCTCTCAAATTAGGGGCTGAGCTCTCTACACCAACAGGACAGCCCTGATGAGCCATTAAAAGTCAAGGTCAGAGTCTAGGCAGGCACTTCCAGGAGCGTCACAGTTTCACCCCTCGCTCCCCCCACCCAACGCCTTGATCACCTCAAAATAATTGCTGTCCTTGGTCAAGGGTCGGGATGCCACATAGCAGCCAACTTCACCAGAGTTTCCATGGTAACTGGAGGAGGGATGGGGAGGAGCTCCATTAGTGGCCTAACCCCAAGGCCCAGTGGGGAAGCCCTCGCATCCCTAAGCCTCACCCTGTGAGGAACAGCGCGGAGAAGAGTGCAGAAGGCCACAGCGCAGCACAGGCAACATAACAAGAGTTCAGAGGTCGCCCTAGCCCTCTCACTGCCTCCGGCCAGGGCCCAACCTACACCAGACCAGGGCCAGCCTGGCGGCGCCTTCACTTCCAGGGGCAGAGAACGCAGAGGTTCCCTGACTTTCCTGCGAGGGGGCTGTGGACCCTGTCCAGCCTCAGCCCCTCCCACTACAGCTTTGGCCTGGTCCTCGGGGAGCTGGTCTACTCTGTACCAGAGTGGGTGGGCTGGAAGACAGTTATTCCCTCCCCCCTCCTCAGCTCTCTTCTCTCCTTCCAACCTCTGTGCCAACTCCGGGTGAGAACTGCAGCTCAGGAGTTGGGGAAGGACTCTGAGCCAGAAGAGAGAGCAAGAGAAAACAAACACAAACCAAAGAACTGGAAATGCACCCTAGGAATGTCCTTCCCCAAACAGGAAACCCCCTACCTCCAAAATGGCTGCTCTTTACCGAGCCCCCAACACCGGGAGACCTGGGCGCAAGGAGACACAGGCAGAGACAGGCTGCCAGGGTCCTCTCCTCTCTGCAAGGCACTAGCCCGGCCACAGAAGGCTCTGATTCCTGACAGGACACACCAGCCTCCATTGCACCACCGAGCTCCCCAGACCAGCCGAGGGACCCAGAAGGAGGGTGCAGCGAGTCTGAGATCTGGTGCAGAAAGGAAAATAGGGACGCCTTCCCCTAAACTCACCTCAAAGTGTCCCCATCTACAAGGATGTGTTTGAACCTCTCTTGATATCGGAAAGCCCGCACTTCCCGAATCTCCCGGATCCGCCGGCGCCAGTTCAGAAACCGGTAGTGCAAGTTGAGGTCATCCATCTTGTTCATGAGAACAAACCTGCCAAGAGGGGATGTGGATTGAAGAGGAGGCCCGGCCCTGAGCAGAGCTCCTCAGCCTGCTCGGCCCAGACGTGGGGGGTGCACTGGCCTTAGAGCTAGGTGCCCATGTCGAGCGCCTTACAAACATTTACTGAGCTCCTACTAGATGCACTGCTCTAGGGACTAAGGAAAGATGCCCTGGTGGCACAGTGGTTAACCACTCAGTTGCCAACTGCAAGGTTGGTGGTTCTAACCCACCATCCAGTCCACGGGAGAAAGATGTGGCTGTCTGCTTCTGTCAAAATGACAGCCTCAGAAGCTTCCAGGGCCATTATGAACCATATCGACCAGATGGCCACAAGTTCAGGTACTGCAGATACGGCTGTAAACAACATAGATGGGGTCCTGTTTTCTTTGGATTTCCATTCTAGGGGCCTGCACGGGGTGGGGGTGGGGGTGGTTGGAGGAGGCATGACAGACAGACAATAAACAGACATGACCATTTTGAACAGTGGAGGGGGAAAAAGCAAGGTGCTGTGGTCAAGAAGAGTAACAGGAAGTTATTTAGTGGGTTACACACTGGGCTGCTAACTACAGGGTGGGCACTTTGATCCCACCAGCTGCTCTGCAGGAGAAAGATGAAGTTTTCTGCTCCCCTAAAGAGGTACCGCCTCAGAAAACCCCCCGGGCAACTTCTGCCCTGTCCTGCGGGGTCTCTGAGTCGCCATCCACTCAATGGCAGTGAGGTTTTGGAGACGTTGAGTTGAGTAGGAAGAGAAGACCTCTCTGTGGTATAACAACCGAGTTGAGATAAAAGAGAGCCAGGCAGGTAAGCGCCATGGCTAAGTATTCGAAGGCAGAGGGGTGGCCCAGGCACAGATCTTGAGGTGGAAGGGAGTTTAGCAGGGTGGCTTGGTGGCAAGTGTGTGGGAAACAGGCGAAGAGGTCTAAGAGAAAGACAAGGGGCAAACCATGGCCCTGTGGGGCCGTGCTAAGGAGTTCCAGAGACCTTTGGAGGGTATTGAATAATGACATCAAATAATCTAGTTTGTGCTTTTGAAAAGCCCATGCATGCCGCTAGTGGGTGAGCGAATAGGGGAACAGACGGTGAACACGTAGACCTTCTTGTAGCCGTTCAGCTGAGGGATGGCATCGACTAAGATGGTAGCTGGGAGGGCGGAGTGAAGTGGGATGATCCAGAGGTTCCTACACATGGATGAATGACTCTTCCCTGGGAGCCAAACGTGAGACAAAGGCAAAGTGCTTTTTCCCTTCCGGCCTCCAAATTCCTGGAGCCAGCGTCCCATCATGGCCTCACAGGCCTTGCACACACAGTAGGTGCTTGCTTAGTAAGCACCGACTGGGCTGAGCTGAACCCCAATGTGGGCCTTACCACCATCCTTCGGCTGCAGCGACAGCCCGCACCTGCCACGTGGCCCAGTAAGGTGGGCGCCCACACAGCAATTCCAGAACTCCCCTCCCAGGCACCCGGCCAGGGCATGACCCCAGAACCCCGCCCGCGAAAGGCAGCCGCCCAGGGCCCGGTCTCCGCCCCGAAACAGCGGGGTCACGCAGACAAGCCCCCCATGGGCCACGGGGCTCCGGCAGGTCACACTTCGTAGGCTCAGCGCCCCCGGGCCCTGCACTGGGCCGGCAGTGCCGGGGGACGCAGCCCAGTGACCAGGCACAAAGCCCCGCCCCTGCCGCAGAGCCCCCGCCCAGGACCCCCGCCTCCCGCCCCGGGCTCCCGGGGGACCCGGGGCCTGCGGGACCCCGCCCCCCGATCCCCGCCTACCGGGGCCTCCGCGTCCTCCTCATCCATAGGCCTCTCAGCTCCGCTTCCTAGCTCTTCGGCCGCCGCCACCACACACATCCGGGTCCCCGCCCTTCCTACGCGTCCACCTCCCGCCCCGCCCCTCCTGCCAGGGCCAATCGGCAGCGGCCGTTGACGATAGGCACGCGAGGTAGCCAATCGGAGGGCGAAGGCAGGGTCTCGGGCGCGGTGCGGGGAAGCCCGGGACCGGCTGGAGCCTGGCGAGCCCGGCGGTCGGAGGAGAGTGGGAGGCGACGTGGCAGTGCGGACGCCGCTCTGGGTGTCCGGGCGCCGCGGGGACGGGCCAGGGGCGGCTCCCGCGATGGGCGGGGCAGGTGGAGCAGGTGGCCTGTGCCGGGGGTGGGGGCGGGGGGGATGCGAGTGTTTCTAGTGTCAGGCGCGAAGCCGAAAAAGCTTTACAGGCGTGTCCTTTTAGAGCCCCTCAACAAGCTTGTGAAATACAGCTTATGATCAGCTCCCTTTGAAGATGAGGAGGCTCAGGCTCCGCGGAGTGGAGCGTCCATAGCCCGTGCACTTAGCGCTAACTGCGCCTGGGCTCTTCCGGTCACCCGCTAGGTCATTCTGGGAAGCAGGTCTCACGAGAAATCACAGCGACGGGACTAGTGCGCTCTGGGAGCGGTGGCTCGGCGGAGCTGGAGGAAAGCGGGGCTCCCTCTTGTACAGAGCTGCAGTCTCGGGAACCCACGGGAGCGCCCACCCTGTCCTGCGGGGTCGCTTGAGGGGGAAGCTAGGCTCGGGTCGCGCTGCGGGAAGAAAGGACACTAACATGTATTGAGCACCCATCAAGGTGGGGCCTTTGTATTCTGGGGAGTTTGGCTCCTAGAATGAGGTCATCCCTGCTTTTCCTGATCACGGAATCCTTTTTTCCTGCATAGAATGTCCCTCTGTGTTCTCATGCCGCGTCATATGTACTTTCTCACACCATTCTGATCTCAGGTGTACAAACCAGACTCACTGCCATCAAGTCAATGCCGGCTCATGGTGAGCCTACAGGGTGGAACTGCCCCATCGGCGTTTCAGAGGCTGTAACTATTTATGGGAGAAGAAAGCCCCATTTTGCCTCCCTCAGAGAGGCTGCTGGTTTCAAACCGGGGACCTTGCGACCGCAACCCAATGCATAACCACTGGATCACCAGGGCTCCTCCACATAGAGCCGGGTTTCTTCTAGGGGATCCACTCTGTTGTCTGTTCTGTAGGCAGAACTGCACAAACGTGGAATGAGCATTGGTGGGATAGTGGTGCGCATAGCTGCCTTCCACAAACGTTGAGTGAAAGGGAAGCCATTGAGCCTGTGCAATGAACCGCTCGGGCACGATGCTCACAGAACCCACAGCCATCGAGTCAATTCCTACTCCTGGTGCGCCTATAGGATAGAATACAGCTGCCCCTGGGGGGTTCTGAAAACGGATGGGAGTCGGTTTCATCTTGTGCTCTGGAAGTGACTGTTTCAGATGGCTGACCTTGAGGTTGGCAGCCCAGTGCATAGGCCACTATCCCGCCAGGATGCCTTTCTATCCAGTAGTGTCGAGAAAATCAGGAAACCCAGATGAGAACTAACTCTGGGCGAAGGAAAGGTCTGAGTTCTTGGAGTTGTCATCTATGGCACCCGGCCAGCCCCGTGACAGAGATGTCCATGGTTACATTTCCCCAGTACCTCCAGCTCCTTTGGACTCTGTTCCTCCCATTCTTCTCTCTTCTACCTCTTCTGCCCATGCTACGAAAATTCCTCAGTCTGCCTCTTCCCAGAACCAGTCAGAGAAGGACTGGCCAGGTTGGCACCCAGTCATGGCCATCCCACACTGGGAATCCGGACTCCTTCCAGTCAGCTGGCTAGTGGCTGAGGTGGAGAGAAACACCAGCCTTATGGGTGGTTGGTGATTCCACCTGGGCTCTCTTGATTGTCCTGTTCCAGGTGTAGAGGGGAAGGCCTTCTGGTAACTCGTTGGCATTTGGGGGCCATAAATGTCATTTGTGTCTGTCACCAACATGTATTTGACTAAACGCCTGTATTGAAAGATAACTGGCATACAATAGGGTGAATAATTTGATGTGATGTATGTTGCTGTAGTTGTTAGGTACTGTTGCGTCAGTTCCAACTCACAGTAGCCCTATGGACAACAGACTAAAACACTCCGCAGGTCCTGCACCAGCCTCACAATTGCTGTGTTTCAGCCCGTTGTTGCAGCCACTGTGTCAACCCAACTCCTTGAGAATCTTTATCTCTGACCTTTTACTCGACCAGGCATGTCCTTTTCCAGGACTTCCTCTTTCGGGATGCGTCCAAAGTCCAGGAGCTGAAGTCTCTCACGATCCTTGTCTCCCTGATGCACTCTGGCTGTACTTCTTCCCAGGCAGATTTGTTTGTTCTTCTGTCAGCCCATGGTGCTTGCACATTTCTTTGCCAACACCGTGATTCAAATGCATCAGTTCTTCTGCAGCTTTCCTCATTCATTTGGCCAACTTTTATGTGCACACGAGGTGATTGAAAATGCCATGGCTTGGGTCAGGGGCATGTCAGTCCTCAGAGTGATATCTTTCCTCTGTGTTAGTCCGGGTAGACCAGAGAAACAAATCCAGGGAGACATATGTATATAAGAAAGAGCTTTATATCAAAGAGTAATTGGATATTGAGAAAACATCCCAGCCCAGTCCAGATCAAGTCCATAAGCCCGATATTAGCTCATCTGTCTGATAATAGTCTGTAAATTCTTCTTCAGACTCACGCAACACATGCAATGACAGGAAATGCAGAAAGATTACAGCCTAGTAGGGGGAAAGTCTTGTGGATCCAGTCGTGGTAGAAGCATCTCAGTGCTGGTGTGGGTCTCAGTGTGGCTCTTCAGCTCCAGGGCTCTGGCTCTATCAGTGTAGCTCCATGTGGCTTGTCAGCAGGAAGAGGAAGCAGAGAGTGTATCTGGCCTCCAGGGAGGAAGACAGGAGTTTCCAGAATCCTCAGGAGAAGGCCATGCCCACGCAGTGGCCTCATTGGCTATGACCTGATTGACAGGCTAGACTCCACCCCTTCTCAAGTTGACAAGAGAGTATGTAACTGCCACACTCCCCAACACTTTAAAGAGCTCTTCTGCAGCAGATTTTCCCAAGGCAACCTGTTGTTTGATTTATTGACTACTGCTGTCATTAGCATTACGTCCATCTTTTCTCCGTCTATCAGGATGGCTGTTGGTCCAGCTGTGAGGATTGGGGTTTTCTTGGTGTTGAGGCGTAAGCCATACTGAAGGACGTACCTCCATCTGTAAGTGCTTCAAGTCCTTGTCACTTTCAGCAAGCCAAGTGTTGCCCTCCGCATCTAGCAGGCTGTTAACGTGTCTTCCTCCGATCCTGACGGCAAGTTCATCTTCGTCTAGTTGAGCTTCTCTGATGCCTTGCTCAGCATGCACACGGAATAAGTACGGTGAGCGAGTACGACTCTGGTGCACACTTTTCCTCATTTTAAACCACACAGGATCCTCTTGTCCTGTTCAAATGATAGCTTCTTGGTCTATGTACAGGCTCCACATGAGCACAATCAAGCGTTCTAGAATGCTCATTCTTTGCATGTCATCCATTGTTTAGTATGATCCCACACAGCCGAATGAATACCGTTGCACAGTCCGTGGAACACAGATGAACATCTTTTTGGTATACTCTGCTGTTACCCAAGACCCATCGGACATCAGCAATGATTCATCTCGTTCCATATCCTCTTCTGAATCTGGCTTGAATTGCTGAGTTTCCTGTAGATGGACTACTGCAACCAATTTTTAATTATCTCCAGAAAACTTTTACTTCTGCGCGAATTAACATTGTTTGATACATTCTGCATTCTATTTGGAACACTCATGTCCATGGAGTTCTGCAACCAATTTTTAATTATCTCCAGAAAACTTTTACTTCTGCGCGAATTAACATTGTTTGATACATTCTGCATTCTATTTGGAACACTCATGTCCATGGAGCTCTTCTCGTCAGTTGGCCAGGTAGCCGTTTTTCCAAATTTCTTGGCATAGATGAGTAAATACTTCCAGCGTTGCAACTATGTTTTGAAGCATCTCAATTGGAAGACTCTTAGTTCCTGCAGTCTCGTTTTTCACCCAATCCTCTCAGTGCACCTGGGACTTTTCCCTTCAATGCCATCTGTTCTTTATTTCGCCCTTTATTTTCTAAAGTACCTGCATTTTACTAATTTCTTGACATGGTAAAAGAATTATACATTACGATTCAAGAGGAGGCTGACGAGGAAGGGCAGAGAAACCATAAAAAAGAGGGGAGGCTGGAGATTGAGAAACAGGGTGGGAGAAAGGAAGGGCTTCAGGCTAGAAGGGATCTGGAGTGTAGGGGCTCTGCTTAACTAAAATGGTCATGGTTTGTTTGCACAATTCACCGGGAAGACCACGTGTCTGTAGCAGACTACATGTGAAAATAATGCACCGCAGGTAGAAA